GGTCACAGGAGACAAAGGGGCAACCGTGGGGGCAGGGCAGAGTCAAGTGAAACACAGAAAGCCCTGCTGCAGGAGCTGGGGGGAGGGCTGTGCTCTCTTCCAGGACGGTCCGCCCCGGATAGCACACACTCACCCCTCTAGATGGAACTCCTCAGCACAGACACAGGGATAGCTGGTATTCCAAGGACACAGGAGACAAAAGGGCAATTGTGGGGGCAGGGCAGCTTCGAGTAGAGTGGAACACAGAAGACCCTACAGCAGAAGCTGGGGTTGGGGGACTGTGCTCTCTTCCAGGACAGTCCACCCGGGAGAGCACACACTCACCCCTCTGGATGGAACTCCTCAGCACTCAAACAGGGGTAGCTGGTAGTCCAAGGACACTGGAGACAAAGGGCCAGAAGGAATCTTCTTTAATGACAGATTAGCAAGACACTTTTCTATGGTGTAGTAAAATGTTATGAGTCATTATATTGGTGCAACCACTAAGCAGAATAATAGTATTTAGCTTTTCCTGTGATTATGGTCCATCTAGTCTCAGGTTCATGGCCACCCAGACAGGATTAGGCATAGGTTCCATTTGTAGAGTGCATCTTAAACCAGATTAGATAGTTGGATTCTGTTATAGGGGCCAAAACACCTGTAACTAGACAGGTACGGGCCTAGATGTATAATCTACTGCAATTATTGTTTTAAGCGGGCCTAGTATGACACTGACTCCCAGTGACTTATCACTGTACTCAAAGATTAAGGCAGCAATCAGCTATCATCAGAACAGTCTCATTAGTTGGTGGCAGTAAATGCACTCACAGTTGGTCAAGAAGCAGAGTACAAGAGACTTCAGAATGTTAAGCTATAAACTGGCATCTGTGTCACAGCCTGTGTGAGCCTGTGTAAAGGAGCTGTGGACTCAGTGTCAACTCTGGATGGGACAGTGTAGGCTGAGGCTGCTCTTTCATTTCTCAGCTGCCCAAACCCAAAATACTCACACAGAAACTGTATTAATTAAAACCTTGCTTGGCCTTTTATATTATTCATCTTTATAGCTAGTTCTTACATCTGAAGTTAACTCATCTCTGCTAATCTGTGCATCACCTACGGAAAAGTTCCAGCGGGCCCTGGTGGGTGTCTTTCTCCTTTGGCCGCTGCATGGCATCTCTCTGACTCCACTTACTTTCTCCCAGGATTCAGTTTAGTTTTCACATCTAGCTCTATTCTGCCCTGCCTACGCCCAAGTTTCTTTTTTATTCATTAACCAATAAAAACAACACCTGTACAGAAGGACTTCCCACAGCAGGACAGAGCACAGAATGTTTTTCCTAGGAGATGGTGTATTCCCTCTCTATGCTTTTATTTTTTAAAGCTAACTGCAAAGGTCACCCTTTGTTTGGCTTGCCTAAATAACAAAAGTGAGAAGGGCTTTGCATTACTTGTGAACTCTAATGGTTGGAGGCCTTGGTTACTCCACTTATATTTTGGTATATCCTTCAATCTGTGAAGATTTTACCTTGATGGCCAGGGTGGGTTGACAACAGCCCCCTCTTTCAAGGCTAAGGTATCATTGTGGAAGGGGAGAGGAAAAAGTGTAAGAGCAAGAGGTGTTGGTTTGTAAAAAAGAAAGAGGATAGTTCAAATACAGCAGATCAGCTGTCCATATAAACTCACAGTGATTGTGGTTATAACAGCATGCACAAGATTTGTTCAAGGAGTCAGAGAATTTCTAACATGGAGATTGGAGGCAGACAAGATTTTAACTCCTTTCTGAGTGGCTATTTACAATTCATGACTGCTAGGAGAGGGAGAGTGTATTTTCTTTAAAGAGTATGGACCCTGGGAGTTGACCCATACTCCAGGGGAATGACACATATCCGTGAGTGTATGGGTAGCACAAACTGTAGTTGATGGTTTTTTGAAAAAGAACACATAAAATTGGGTGGATTGGCAAGAGGGTATGAATTATGGAGGAGTTGGGGTAGGGATTATTGTAATAAAAATATGATATAAAATCCTGAAAGAACTAGTAACATGAGGATAAAATACCATAGTGTATTTTAAAAATTTTCCTTGATTTTTTATTATTTTATGAATAAATAATAAATTTATCAACACTAAATAGTCCTCCACAGATGTAACACCTAGAAACCATAGCAATTTCCAACATGGCAAGATATTTCTAAAGAAGCCAGCAGTAGTAGAAGTAGTAGAACTTATGTCTTGTCTGTAACCAAGAACTATCTAATCAGTTTGAGTAAAATCATGTCTGTGGCTGGAAATCTAGTCAACTACCTAGGGTTTGTAAGGTCATGGGTCCTAGAGAGGACTCTAGGTGATACTTGCTATCTGCAGTTTACTAGAACAGCACAATTCCTAACTTCATTTTATATACCTTCCCTATACTCGCAGGTAAGTGTGGCTTTTACCACTTTTTAAAGAAACTTCTGTTTGCAACATGTGGAGACCATTGCAGAAACCCACAGCTGGTCAAGATGCAGAGATCAAGTTACTGTGAGGTGCCTGGCATCAGTGAATATATTTATAATGCAATTCCTGCTCCCAAGGTTCAGGAAACAGTGAGGAATAGGGGACAGAGGATTGTAAGGGCAGGAAGTCAATTGTGAGACGGTGTCTTGTAACACGAGGGCTGGCTTGTTGGCATTTATGTCCCGCCCGATACCCCATAGCCGGCAAATACCAAAGAAAATCACAAAGAGATCTCCATAAGTTATAAAACTGATTGGCCCATTAGCTCAAGCTTTGTAGTAGTTCTTATAACTTATGTTAGCCCATTATTCTAGTCTATGTTAGCCACATGGCTCAGTACATTTTTCAGTGGGGCAGATCATCTCCTGATTCTTTGGTGGTCTGGGCAGGACTTGGGAAAGAACTTCCTTCTTCTTAGAATTCTCCTGTCTCTACTTCCTGTCTGGTTGAGTCATCTATACTTCCTGCCTGGTCAATTAGTGCTTATTTAAAACATGATTGACACAATACAGGCAATTCTCAGGCACCAGTGTCTCATATAACAACAGGAGATCTGCAGTCATGATAACTGAACAGTTTGATTGCCTAAACAAGACCTGGACATGGAAGAATTAGAGGACGTGATTATGGGATGGGTTAGAGGGAGGAATGATGTAACTGTATTATTATTAAAATGAGAAGACCTTTTTATTATTTTATATGTATGGGTATTTTGCCTGAGTGTTATGCCTGTACACCATGTTTGTGACTAGTTACTGAAGTCAAAGAGTTTTAGAGATCATGGGGGCCTGGAGTTACAGATGGCTGTGAGCTGTCATACTGGTGCTGAAAATCAAACCTTGATCTTCTGGAAGAGCAGCCAGTGCTATTAAGTGCTGAGCAATCTCTCCAGCCTCCACAATTTTCTTTCAAACTCATTTTAAAAGTTTTCACTAATGAATCATTATTTCTATTGTGTATTGATAGTTTTCTCAAACTATACTTTAGGATATCTTTATGTTTGAAGTATTTTAGTAAGGCATCAAGCAGTGTATTAAACACAAGATGAAACACCATTTATACTTATTACTGCAAATCATAAAAGTAATAGAATTATATAACCACCATTGCTACTGTAGTACAAAGATGAAACTATGAAGAACATTTAAACCAAGATTTAATTAGTATCTGTAATATTAAATCTGTTATTCTAAACCCATTCTTTTTTCTTAGTCTATTACTTAGAGTAAACAATAAAGTGCCAGGGGCCCCTCCATACACACAAGTTATGCAGGAATCAATCAAAAGGTGGGAAACATTTGAACAAAATTTGCATATGTAGTGAACATGCTCCACCTGTGGTTATAATTCCCTAAACACTATAACTATTTACATAGAATTTATCCTAAGTTCAACACTTTCAGTAATCGAGATGATTTAAAGTATACAATAGGATGTACATTTTATATGGAAATACTGAGCCATTTAATGTAAGGCACTAAATGCATACATTTCAGCACCCTCATGGGATTCCTGAATCAATTCCCTGAGGATCCTCCAAGTAGATAGAACACGGTGCCTGGAGTCAAGATCCTCATGAAAGCTGCACATGGACAATATACAAAAGCATTCATTGCAATTGCTTTAACATTTGTTTGTTTTAACATTTTTTAGTGTGAAGACATATTTTTATTTCCTGAAAATACTTTATAAATAACTAAGAAATTTGAAACAATTATGAGGTTAGTGAGAAACCTGGTGTTAGGAATATTCCCAGTGCCTACAAGGATGACTGTAACTAAGACTCCTAGCAATAGCGGAGAGGGTGCCTGAACTTTCTTTCCTTATAATCAGGTTAGTGACTACCTTATCTGTCATCATAGAACCTAGATCCAGGAACTGATGGAAATAGATGCAGTGACCCACAGACAATGCTGGACGGAGCTCCCGGAGTTCAGCTGAATAGAGGGAGGAGATATCATATGAGCAAGGGGTGGGGTTTCATGATGGAGAAAACCACAGAGACAGCTGACCTGAGTTAATGGGAACTCACAGACTCTGGACTGTCAACTGGGACTCCTGCTCCATTGAACCAAACTAGGCCTTCTGAAAGTGGGGGACAGTTATGTGGCTTTATCTGTAGGCAGTTTGTGGGCGGTCCTGCCAGTGGGACCAGGGCTTATCCCCGGTGCATAAACTGGCTTTTTAAACCCCATTCACTATGGTGGGATACATTGCTCAGCCTTGATCCTGGGCAGGGAAGGGCTTGGTCCTGCTTCAACTTTGCATGCGAGATTTTGTTGACTCCTCAAGGGAGGCCTTACCTCTCTGAGGAAGTGCATGGGGATGACACAGGGGAGGGGGGAGAAGGGGTGAGAGGGGGAACTGTGGTTGTTATGTAAAATGAAATTTTTTTGAATAAAAGAAAAAATAAATGCCGTAAAGTTTCTCAGTAAGAAAGCTAAAATAAAAATTTAAAAGATATAGTTTATAGATGTCATATATTTTAATGAAAAGTTGACTCTTTACAGTAGCAGATTTCTCTACTTCTGAAAGAGCAGTGTGACCCTTTTAACTGAGTCATGAAAGGCCTGTTTGACTTGCTTGTTCCTCAAGGTGTAAATGAAGGGGTTCAGCATGGGAGCAATGGAAGTGGTCAGCACTATCACACCCTTGTTGATAGCCACTGAGTCCTTTGCTGAAGGTTTGACGTAGATGAAGATGCAGCTTCCATAAGTGATGGAAACCACAATCATGTGGGACGAGCAGGTAGAAAAGGCCTTTTTCCTCTGCTGGGCAGAAGGGAATCTGATAATGGTCCTGATTATGTATGCATAGGAAAGAACCACACACACAAGGGTCATGATAAATGTCAGTACCGCACAAACTATCACTATCTGCTCTATGAGCCACGTGTCTGTGCATGAGATCTTCAGGAGAGGGGACGCATCACAGACAAAGTGGTCAATAGCATTAGAGTCACAGAATTCCAGGTTGAGTCCCAGGCTAAGTGGTGGCAGGATCACCAACAAGCCAGCTGCCCAGCAACAGAAGATAAGTCTGTTACAGATCTTGCTGTTCATGATGGTGGTATAATGCAGGGGTTTGCAGATGGCGACATATCTGTCATAGGACATAACGGCCAGCAGAAAAAATTCTGTCACACCAAAAAGATCAGTAAAAAATAGTTGAGAGGCACAGTCATTATATGAAATTGTCCTGTCACCTGTTGAGATGTTGTATAAGTATCTGGGAATGCAAGCAGTTGTAAATGAGATTTCTAAGAAGGCAAAATTTTGTAGGAAAAAGTACATGGCAGTTTTTAGGTGTGAATCTATAAAGATGAGGAAGATGATTGTGAGATTTCCAGTTATACTGAGCAGGTAGGTGAGAAACAGACAGAATAAGATCAGAATTTTCAGCTTTGGGTCATCAGTCAGTCCCAGGAGGACGAATGTTGTCACTGTGTGGTTTCTCATAATTGAATTGGTACCTTTATCCAGTCTGCATTGAAAATTCAGGGTTATCTGTTCAGGAGTAGCAATTAAGGAAAAATATTATGAAACCCCACTCATATGCGTTCACTCATGATTGCAGACATAAACATACTGGTTGCTTAGATCTAACAAATAGGTAGTTTGGTCTTTTCAGGGTAGAGTTAGAAAATCAAATTGCCTTATGTATACCACATTTCAAAATGTTATGGGTGCTTTCTTCTCTATGCATCCGATTCTTAATTTATCATTTTTTGTTTAATTGTCTTTTGAGTTTATGTGTTTCCAAGCATTTTGGGTTGGATGCTAATGCTTCATGACCCTTACTTCCTCCGTAGAGGTAGAATCCTGAAGTCAAATCTCAAACTCTCTTTGACCTTTTCATGTATTTCTTGAGATTTTGTTATTTATAAAAGTCACACATAGTTTGCTCTTATAGGCCTTTTATTTGCTGTCTAACATGTTGGGGGCTAGTATTATAATCACGAACTTTCATGTTTTCTTTAAATAGTCCTTTCCTTAGTTATTACCCATTTCTTCCTCTTAATTTTTCAGTTCAAAATTTTGTTATATTCCTATCGTGGAATAAAGAAAGGAAATATGTTGAGGGTAGGCTTATTGTATTATATGATCAGTTATATATAAAATACACTTTTGCTTAGATCACCACTATTACTTTTTAATTTTGGAATGCACTATAAATATCACTATATTTTTACTGTTAAGTAAAAATGCCACATTTAACTGTTAAGCCTGTCTTCAATGATATCGCAGCTTCACTTGCACTTAGTTTATTATGGAAATAATAATATTATTCATACATATTCCATGTTAAAACACCAAAAATGAGGTGCTTGTGAGTAGCAGACATGTTTGAACTTCTTCAGCATCCTGAGCCATGATTTTTTCTGTTAACATGTTCTGTTGTCCATATACCAAAGTCACATTTTGTCTGTTACTTAAATTGAACAATCTTTAACAAAATTAATCAGACACTATGAAATTTGTGTTTTAATTTATGGACACTGTGAGTAGAGTGGGTATTTTTAACCACACAATATTCATAGCATTCTTTCATAGCTTACCTTTGTGACCTATGTGTTTTGTCTGTCACCTTCCTTCTTTGTAATTTTGAGTCATTTGTTTTTCTTGCTGAAGTCTTTATGTAGCCCATTGTGCTTTATTATTTGTTAACATAACTCTGTGTTTTCTTGAGCTTTTAATCTCCAATAATTATTACTCCTCATATCAGAAAATGCCTGGAATACAAGTCGAAAATGAAATATTTGATGTCCATACCTGTATTCTATTTTACTTTGTATCTTTAATTCAAACTAGTATGTTATGATCAGTAAGTTTTTACAGTATGTTACATACTGAACTTTTACAAGAGGCTACATATTGAACCTTTAAAATGAGTTACATACTTACAAAGCCACTAAACCTTTACAATAGGTTGCACATTTACATACTTACTGAAACTTTACAATAAATTACATACTTACTGAACCTTTGCAATAGGTTACATACTTAGCTATCTTTCATTGCCTGGGATCCAGCCTCAAGCAGCACAGGGCTCAAAGGGAATCCTCCATACTATGTTAGGGGGTAAGGAGAAAGACTCTCTCTCTCTCGTTCTTGCTCTCTCTCTTTCTCTCTCTGGTTTCCTTCTTTATTATCTGTATCCTCTATTCTTGATTTCCTGGTGGTTTCCTTCTTTCACTCTAGATGTTTTACTTCTAACTCAATCTTTATTCTTGATGTTTTCCATCTAATTTTATCTTTATGCTTTCTTATTCTTTCATTCCTGATGTTTTCCTTCTAACTCTTTGTTTTTGTCCACACAGCTTAAATACCTTAGCAAAATCTTTTACACAATATCAAAACTACAATGTGGTTACATCTTGCTTTTCGTGTGACTGATGACAATGAAAACAAGTGAAAAACAGCATGTCATCCTTATCCCTTCCATGATTGAACATTTTACTTGTTATAGGGGAAAAATTGTCCACAAGAAATCACATGCATTCTTACACAAACAACTTGTCATAGATTAACAGAGTAAAAGCAAGTAAGCTATTTTTCTCAGTCAGGTCTTTTTCTGGAAGTTTGCATTTTGCAGTTACAAAGATAGGACCAACCACTTTATTACCTATCTTGAAAGGTAATCTTATAAAGAATCTTAAAAGTATCACAAATATATACTTTTATACATGGAAAACAACCATTTAGCTCTACCTTAAGTCTTTAGGGTGCATACCTACTCATTGATAATTTTTTATATCAAGAGTTTGAGGGCAGAAATGGGTATAAGGAATTAATCATCACTTTTGGTCATCAACCAATTCTAGCAAGAAAGGCGTATCCTCTAATGATAGTTGGGCTGTGGCCTCAGTTCTCATCGTTGCTTAATATAACCTTATTAATGGCTATACCTATCCAATATCAAACACTTTGAAATGATATTTCAATTGGGACTACATTAGAGTGTCTATTTTTAATTTTAACACAGTCTGTGAAGACTGTAACTAGAGAAACATGGGATCTGAATCTCAAAAAAAAAACCCTGTAGTTGAAAGAACAGAATTCATCCTATTCAAACTTCTGGCAATTGTTCATAGCCTTGTTCTCTCTTAGTTATTTAAGCACATTGATTCTTCTAAATATTATTTGAAAATGATTATTTCTAGTGATCACTGACTAAATCTATTCATGTCTACAAAAATAGTAGTCTGGGAATGCATAGAGGTTTAAATTTTCTGTTTTTAATCAATTGCATCAACTTTCCAAAAAAGAATGCAGTGCCGTCATAAGAAAGTAATTTTCTTACTTCTTCTATCCCTGAAAAATAGTTTCAAAGGAATGTCTGGAAGTTTGCGAAGAGCTGATATTCTGACCCCTTTTGCTCAGAGAGAGGGTTTTCTAATATCAAGCTTGATTCTTATTAATGTACCATGTCTACAGCAAATAAAAAAAAGAGTCCTCAGTGGCTCAGACTCAGAAATAGCTAATGAATTATCTGTGGGAGCAGGGCCTTTGGAGATTCAATGAAGCATCAAAATCATTTAAAATAAACTGCAAGGAAAATGTAGAATTTAATTAAAAGAAAACCAAGCCCAGTTTCTTATAATTAATCCTTGTTATGCCAGGTGCAAAATATTTTGGTCTCATTTTCTGTATTATCAATTTGTTATGCAATAAATACTTTACACGGGTTTAAAATATCACTGTTTTATTCTATGAAAAATGTTTTAATTTTATTTTTAAAAGTTAAATTTTTAATAAATATTAATCTGAATATGTGTACATTATTTGTGTTTTTGCATATGGGTGTGTGTGCCACAGTGATGTGTGGATGTCTGAGAACAAGTTTGTGGAGCAGTTTCTCTCCTTCCACTATTACATGGATTTAGGGGCTAAAATTCAGGTTTCCAGGCCTATATCAGTGTTTACTCCATGAAGAATCTTGATGGTTCCTGAGTATTATTTTTGCAAGCCAAACTATGGGGCTGAGGAGATGGCTCAGTGCCAAGAGTAATGTGAAGGCAGGAGAACCCACAGATGGTTATAGGCCTGAGATCCTGGTGATCAACAAAAGGATGACATTACTACAAATAATATAGAATGTGCTGTGGGACAATGCTCTTGTAAATGGCAAAGACTGTTTGTATTGGTTTAATAAAAATGCTGATGGGCCAGTAGCTAGGCAGGAAGTATAGGCAGGGCAACCAGACTAGGAGAATTCTGGGAAGAGAAAATACAGAGACACAGTATCCTGTCACATTACTGAAGGTGCTTATCAGCTGTAGGAGTTTCCTTGTAGATTTTTTTGGGTCACTTATGTATTCTATCATATAATCTGCAAATAGCAAAAGTTTGACTTCTTCCTTTCTAATTTGTATCCCCTTAATCCTTTTCTGTTGTCTTATTGCTCTAACTAGAACTTTGAGTACTATGTTGAATAGACATGCGGAGAGTGGACAACCTTATTTTGTTCCTGATTTTAGTGGAATCACTTTGAGTTTCTCTGCATTTAATTTGATGTTGGTTGTTGGCTTGATGTGTATTGCTTTTATTATGTTGATATATGTTCCTCATATCTCTGATCTTTATCATGAAGGGGTGCTGGATTTGTCAAATGATTTTTCAACATCTAATGAAATGATCATATGTTTTTTCTTTCAGTTTATTTATATAGTGGATTACATTGATAGATTTTTTTGTATGTTGAGCCATCCCTGTATCTCTGGGATCAAGCCAACTTGATCATAGGGGATGATTTTTAAAAAATGTGTTCTTGGATTCAATTTGTCAGTATTTTATTGTGTATTTTTGCATCAGTTTTCATAAGGGAGATTGATCTGTAATTCTATTTCTTAGCTGAGTATTTGTGTGGTTTGGGTGTCAGGGTAACTATAGCCTCATGACCTTTTAGTGTGTGCAGCACATCTGTCCATGACCTTCTTGCTTTCAGTGTTTCCACTGAGAAATTGGGTGTAATTCTGATATGTCTGCCTTTAAATTTTACCTGGTCTATTTTCTTGGCAGCTCTTAATAGTCTTTCTTTATTCTGTATGTTTAGTGCTTTGATTATTATATGGCAAGGGGAATTTTTTTTTGGTCCAGGCTATTTGGTGTTCTGTAACTTCTTTTTCCTTCATTAGCATATCATTCTTTAGGTTGGGAAAGTTTTCTTCTATTTTGTTGAATATATTTTCTGTATATTTGAGCTGGAGTTCTTCTCCTTCTTCGATTATTCTTAGGTTTGGTCTTTTCATGGTGTCCCAGATTCCTTGGATGTTTTATGTTAAGAATTTGTTGGATTTAATACTCACTTTGACTGATACTTCTATTTCCTTTATCATATTTTCAATACCTGAGATTCTCTTTTCTATGCTTGCATCTATAGTTCCTGTTTGCTTTCCCAGATTTTCCATTTCCATAATTCCATTGATTTGTGTTTTTCTTATTTCCTCTGTTTCAGT